AACGTTTATTTTTTTTTTAATTTTTTTTTTAACATTTATTTATTTTTGAGACAGAGAGAGACAGAGCATGAACGGGGGAGGGGCAGAGAGAGAGGGAGACACAGAATCGGAAACAGGCTCCAGGCTCTGAGCCATCAGCCCAGAGCCCGACGCGGGGCTCGAACTCACGGACCGCGAGATCGTGACCTGGCTGAAGTCGGACGCTTAACCGACTGCGCCACCCAGGCGCCCCAACAAAAGCAGTCTTTAATGCTACTTCCTGTTCTTCTCTGGCATGTGCGGTTCTATAGTCCATCGCAGGAGAAAGTGGTCCCTGGCCTGCTCCATCGCGCCACTAGCCACTTCTCCAACCAGAACGTCAGGCATCTCCCATCACTGCTCCACTCTACCCCATTGCTGTCTTGCATCTCATGTGACAGTAGGATCCCTGTATTTTATTTTTCTGTACTAAACTGTTTTCCCAATCCTGTCCCAAAAGCTTTTAGCGTGTTCTCTTTATCCATGGTGTTGTAAAATTCCAGAATGTGTCCAAGTATGAATCTTTTTTTCTTTTTTAAATTCACCCTATTGTGTACTTAATAAGCCCTTTTAGTCTGAAGTTTTACATCTTATACCGACTCTAGGGGATTATTATTTTTCTATTACTTTTATGATTTTTTTCCTCTGTTCTCTATTTCTGGAACTCTTATTAGATACAGTTTCTTTTAGATACTCTATCTCTCTTGACAATTTTTTCCCTTGTCTTTTCTCTGTTTGGTCTTTTGCTATATGTTTCTTGCCTTTTTCTTGCATTCTTTAGATTTATGTTTTACTTTGGTGGTTTTTTTTTTTTTTAATTGTATTTCTTTTTTTTTAAGTACTCTCTATACCCCATGTGGGACTTGAACTCACAACTCCAAGATCCACAGTCGCATGCTCTACTGACTGAGCCAGCTAGGTGCCCCTGGTGATTGTATTTTTAATCTCCATGAACTCTTCATTGTTTTCCAACTGCTCCTTTTTTATAGAGGTCTCTTCTGGTTTAAGTGGATACAGTATCCATGAGAGTATAATGCTAAGTGAAATAAGTCAGAGAAAGACAAATATCATATGATTTCACTCATGTGTGTAATATAAGAAACAAAACAAATGAACAAAGAAACAAAAGAGACAAACAAAAAAAACAGACTCTTGAATGCAACAGAGAACAAACTTGTGGTTGTCAAAGGGGAGATGGGTGGGAGAATGGGTGAAATAGGTGATGGGGGACTAAGAGTACACTTATTGTGATCAGCACTGAGAAATATATAGAATTGTTGAATCATTATATTGTACACCTGAAACTAATATAACACTATACATTAATTATAGCTGAGTGAAAATGAATGAATGAATACAATATCTTCCCTTTTGGGACACTGACTAGAATTCCTTGTAGTTTATTATGTTTTATGAATCATCTATATTTCTACCAGCTGGGTAAGGCCTTTTGATGTTTATTTTGGTGGTTCTCACTTGAGCTACAGAATTTTTCAACCATCCATGATCTTTAACTTTTTGTGAGTCAAGGACAATTTGATTGACATAGGTGGCTTGGGATGGGTTTCCTGTGTCCTGCCTCTGAGTTAGAGCCAGGTTTTGTGTTTGTAGGTAGGAATGTGAATAATCATTCACTTTAGAGTGCTGGGGATATGTGGTCAGGTTGGGGGTCTCCCCAAATGCCAAAGAAAAGTGGGTCCTTCTGGTGCTGCAACCCCTATGCTGAGTTGCTATTGCATGAATACCTTACATACACTAAATTTATTCAGAGATGATATTTCCAACTTGGCCTGGGGGCAAAAGACATTGCTGCATAGAAAGATAGGAGAAGGGGTTCAGAGACCAGGGCCAGCAGGACTCTGCACTTTGGCTACATCAGTCCTGATGAACGTACCCCTCTTTGGAGATGGAAATGAGGGTACCAGCACTCCATAACACCACAGACTGAGTAGGAAAGTTGTATTCCTCAGAGGAGATCCAAATGCTTTTATCTGAAGATTAGGACAAAAACAGTAACAGTCCACTATAATAGATAAGTGTGATTAACCCCATTTTATGAGTACATTTGGTGAAATACTGTGAATGAATTGTGAAGATTAGGAATGAGGAAAACATAGTAAGTCAACATAATGTAAGCAACACCATTGCTGATCACTGTGTTGATCATTGAGGGGGAAAAGCTAGAGAGAATGGTTAAGTATTTCCATCCATTTAATGGCCCACACCAGGTGGAGGTGGAGACGAAGGGACTCTGAAGAAGAGACTCTGTAAATCATTAACATCATAGCAAAGATGCTGTAGGCTCCATTTGAGACCAACTTCCAGTTTCTGATTCACTGAATATGTTTCCCTTTTTAAAAAAAAAAATATAGTTTATTTATTTTTAGAGAAAGAGACAGAGAGAAAACAAGCAGCAGAGAGGCAGAAAGAGACGGAGAGAGAGAGAATCCCAAGCAGGCTTTGCACTGTCAGCGCAGAGCCTGATGCGGTCTCAAACTCATGAACCGTGAGATCATGACTTGAGCCAAAACCAAGAGTCCGACGCTAAACCAACTGAGCCACCCATGAATATCTTTCCCTTTAATTGAGCATAGAGTCATCTGGGAGTTGAATGTGGCTGTGGAAGAGATACTTGGAATCTTACAAAATGTTGGGGGCCTTATTCACTCCATTTGTATTTCGCCTTCATTTGTACAGTTCCTGTGCATTTCAAAGACTTTTCTCAGTGCTGACAAGGAAGGAAGAACTGCTAAATTGGAAGCTTTTAAATTTTTTTTCCCCACGTTTATTTATTTTTGGGACAGAGAGAGACAGAGCATGAACGGGGGAGGGGCAGAGAGAGAGGGAGACACAGATCCGGAAGCATATCCGGTATGAGCCATCAGCCCAGAGCCTGACGCGGCGCTCGAACTCACGGACCGCGAGATCGTGACCTGGCTGAAGTCGGACGCTTAACCGACTGCGCCACCCAGGCGCCCCATGGAAGCTTTTAAACAGATCAAGATTTTTAGCATATTCCAAACATGGTCAGATTTGATGCATATAAATCTCAACCACATCACAATGTTGATGGGATCGTTCATTTCTTTTCTTCTTAGCAAAGATAACTGTCATTCCCAAACACAGATCAGACATTTAGCCCTCACAAATGTAGTAATCAAAATAGAGAGTGATCAGCTTATCCAGTTTCCCATCTGTGCTTCAGCTGTGATGTTTAATTTTCATTTCCTCCTTCCCATTGACATCCTAACCCAGCCAGGGAGGTCTGATAGCCCTTTCCAGGGGATTTTGTTACTTCCTCATTCTTACATAAGAGCCGGAATTCCATTTGGAAAGAGAAATTACACTGGGCTTAATCAATAACCTCAAAGAATTAAGAGAAAAAAAATTACCTGTTATTTGACTGTAATATGTATTTGATGGCTATGATTTGTGTTCTTGTGTTAATTGTAGGATCCTAGAATTAGATTAACTATTGTTAACATCTAAAATTGATTTAAATGCAAAAAGAATCAATACATGAGCTAAATGTTTAAATATCACGACACTAACAAGAGACTGAGTCTTCCACTGAATTATTCTTTTCTTTCTGCATTTGAAAACAATGCACCTATCTAGGGGAGATGAAAAAATACTGACTGTTGTAAAGGACATTGTAAATAACCCTCCATCATAAAAAGGAAGGTAGTGCCACAGGTGGTATAGCCAGGGGACAGGGGTGCAAGAGCACCTGACTTCAGGAGTCCCAAACAGACCAGGTTCAACCATTTTCTGCTGACAAAATCCAAAGTCAGAAAGACCAGTGGCAATGAAACAAGAAAGGAATTTATTTCAATGAGGCCAACACTGGGAAGACCGCAGATGAGCATCTCAGAAACTGTCTCCAAAGTGCCAAAAATACTTCCTTTCAGGTTTGTATAAGGAAAATATAGGGGAAGGTGGGTGGGCGGGTACGTAAAGGTGGGCAGTGAAGGTCAAATTGATCTTTGTCTTGGGAGCCAATCATAGATGGGGTCTTGCTGGCTCAGGGCAGTCCTTACTGCTTGAGCAAGTCGTTTCTTCCCAGGTAAGGGATTCTTTGCCCTCAAGGTCTTTCTTCCAGAAAGAAGAATGCAAATAGAAAGTTTGAGGTCAAGGGGCGCCTGGGTGGCTCAGTCAGTTAAGCCTCGGACTTCAGCTCAGGTCATGATCTCATGGTTCTTAAGTTCAAGCCCCACATGGGGCTGCTGATGGCCCAGAGCCTAGAGCCCGTTTCGGATTCTGTATCTCCCTCTCTCTTTGCCCCTCCCCTGCTCCTGCTCTGTCTCTCAAAAATAAATAAATGAAAAAAAAAAAAGTTTGAGGTCAAAACGGAGGCAGCTAAAGTCCTCTTTCAGTGGGAAGAATAAGGAGTAAGTGTAGCAAAACTAAAAATCTTAGCATTAAATTTGGCAAAAGATTATAGTAATTATAATTGCTAATGTTTTTGAGCACTTACTGGATGCTTGACAGTTTTTGTTCTCATTCAGTCTTCACAACAACCTTATGGAACGTGTACCAAGAAGGTCTGGAAGGATCTGCCTCCACCAAGTCACAGGCTGGGTTTGTGAAAAATGATTAAAGAAGACAACTTAGATGGCACAAATGAACTTTATTTAACACTTCATGAAGTGGCAGTCTCCATTCCCAAGGGTCCAGAGAATTGCAAAGTGGAGTGAAGGTGAGGGGCTTTTATTAGGAAAAAGTATAAAGGACAAGAAAGGGGAAAATGAAAAATAAACAAAGAACAGGGGTGTTAAGTATGCAGCCCAGAGTTGGCATGGTGTTGGGGATTGACTGATTGGATGTGCTGTATTTGAATCAAGTGAAACCTTTATAAGGATGTGAAAGTTATCTAAGTTTGTTTCCTGATGTGGCATCCTGGGAAGGAGTGACTCCATCGTGGGTCTGGAAATGTATTGCAATAGGGTTGAAGCCCAGGTCTGCTGACTGCAGATCCAGATCCCTTAACCTGTGTGCTATGTTTCAACAATTGTGATTCTAGATATTCTAAACAAATGGAGTCTTGATGGATTATCTTGACAGATAGTCCAAAGACTGGTATATTCAGAAAGATATTGGAGTTGGCCAATTACTTGCTTTTTGTTTGTTTTTGTTTTGTTTTGTTTTATTTTTTATTTTTTAAAATTTACATCCAAATTAGTTAGCATATAGTGCGACAATGATTTCAGGAGTAGATTCCTTAATGCCCCTTACCCATTTAGCCCATCCCACCTCCCACAACCCCTCCCATAACTCTCAGTTTGTTCTCCATATTTGTGAGTCTCTTCTGTTTTTTCTCCCTCCCTGTTTTTATATTATTTTTGTTTCCCTTCCCTTATGTTCATCTGTTTTGTCTCTTAAAGTCCTCATATGGGTGAAATCATATGATTTTTGTCTTTCTCTGACTAATTTAACTTAGCATAATACCCTCCAGTTCCATCCACATAGTTGCAAATGGCAAGATTTCATTCTTTTTGATTGCCGAGTAATATTCCATTGTATATATACCACATCTTCTTTATCCATTCATCAATTGATGGACATTTGGGCTCTTGCCATACTTTGGCTATTGTTGATAGTGCTGCTATAAACATGGGGGTGCATGTGTCCCTTCAAAACAGCATACCTGTATCCCTTGGATAAATACCTAGTAGTGCAATTGCTGGGCCGTAGGGTAGTTCTATTTTTAGTTTTTTGAGGAACCTCCATACTGTTTTCCAGAGTGGCTGCTCCATCTTGCATTCCCATTACTTGCTCTTTTATTTCACTAACTTAAGTCTCAGAAACTCTCTTGTTAAATTTGATACCCTCATAATCCTAAATTTTGTTTGTTGAATTGGATTCTTGAACTCTTCTTTAGTATCTTGAAAGTTCTTAGAGAACTATTAGAATGTATATAAAGTCAGAGGCCATAGAAACATTTATGGATCTGAGTTGGGGCGCTAAACCTAGTTCAGTGTGTGTGCATGTATGGCAAGCACACGTGTGTCCATGGGAGAGTGTGTGTGTGTGTGTGTGTGTGTGTGTGTGTATGTAAACACCCACATGTGAGCCTGTGTGAGGTTGCCTAGTTAGATGGAACTGGGACCAAATAAATTGTATTTAAACAGTACCTGTTTGTTTGTTTGTTTGTTTGTTTGTTTCTTTCTTTCTTTCTTGTTGTTTATTTTTAAGAGAGAGACAGAGACAGAACATGAACAGGGAAGGGGCAGAAAGAGGAGACACAGAATCTGAAGCAGGCTCGAGCGTCTGAGCTATTATCATAGAGCCGGATGCAGGGCTCAAATCCATGAGTCGTGAGATCATGACCTGTGCTGAAGTCGAAGTGGGATGTTTAATGAACTGAGCCACCCAGGCACCCCACTGTGTCCCTGTTTAAAAACATTAAGACCCTTTGGTGCAGATTCTCCTTGTTCTTTTTTTATTTTCAAGTAACACTTGTAAAGCCAAACACAGTTATGCAAATGTATGTCAAGTAGGACCCCTGAGCCCCTGGGGAAAGTGTAAAACAAGATCTTTTGTTACTTGACAAAGGCTACTCCTACCAAGAAACCCGAGGTTTGCAGAGTTGGACCCTGAAGGGTGAAGGTGGAGTTGAAGTGACTCTATTTTCAGAAATTCCTCAGATCTAACATTTTCTCTTCTGTGGATCAACATTATTAGAACATCTCTGTAGGACTGAGATAATCCTTTGTTATATTTTATTTTAGAGAGAACAAGCAGGGGAGGGGGCAGAGAGAGAGATAGAGAGAGAGAGAATCTCAAGCAGGCCCCACGCTCAGCACAGAGTCCAACATAGGGCTTGACCCCACAACCCTGGGATCATGACCTAAGCTGAAATCAAGAGTCAGACAGTTAACCGACTGAGCCACCCAGGCACCCCAGGACTGAGATAAGCTTGACCAAGACAAATCCATAGGAGAGGACACCAAGAGCCCCCAGCTGTAAGTTATCCCAGGTAAGAAAGTCTGATGTGGTGGCCTCATTCAGCAACCACACTCAGAGGGTGTGGGTGGTCTTGGTACAGCAGGTTGGTGAGGTTGGATGGCCCTCTCAACATTGACACCTTGACATAGAGGGTGTGCTTTAATAGCAAATGACTGAGCTTGTGTGAGGGTAAAACAACACAGTCGGTACCCTAACCCTGTAGTGTTCTGGGCTGAATACAACATTGGATGGAGTGGTTCATCCTTTCTTCTTCCAGTGATTTTAAAACTAGTTTTGTAACCCAAGCTATTGGAGTGTAAATTGCAGAAATATTTTAACACAGACTCCAACTTTCCCAAATCTGATATTCCACTTCAGATATTCAGGTTTTGACTACATTGATGATTATGTTTTGAGTAAAATGTTCACTTTAGATGAATATATGCTTTATTTGGAAATATCTTAAAAGTCTTAACATTTATTTCTTTTGAACTCGATTTGCTTTGCCAAAGATTATTTCAAATTTGGAATCATGAATTCCCACTATTTTGTCAAAAATATTTGTGTTGGATCTATTCAGAACCTCAAAAACCTCTGCCCGTGTTTTTCTATCTCTGCTGCCATGGGAAGGTCTTTCTGCAGAAGCATGTTTGCAGATGTGTTTGGGTTGTAAGAATCACCCAAATCACACTGTGAAGTAGGCAGGAGAGGGATCAGTCTTCCCGTTTTCTGGCTGAAAAGTGAGGTGGGTTATGTGACTTGAAGAAGGTCTCCCAGCTGGGCAGAAGTAGTGCTGGAACTTGAATGGCTCTTTCTGACTTTTAAGCAACAGACCCTTCCTACCCACTGTTATGTGCTGTTGATCCTTATGAATAGTTTTCTAGACTGAAGTGTGCTCTTCAAGGAGGAGGCAGATCTGGGTTCAAATCTTGAAGCTTCCACTTCTCATCTTTGGTTGGGCAAAGTACCTAACATCTGTAATCCTTGGTATCCTTGTGTTGAATGGGAAAAAACAATACTATAAATTTTGCATGGCTGTTAGGATTACAGAGCTGTAAGTTGTACAGCTGGTACTGTAGCGTTAGTGTAAGAAACACCATGCAGTCTCTCTTGATGGTCTCTAACCCTTGCAAATTTGGATATATTTACCACTAACTTTTTATGAGTACACAAAGGACTGCAGCACTTTTTAGGTTAGCATGGAGTGATACAAAGAACTCCAATCAGTAGACTAGTTCTAAGTACCATCTACCCCTAATAAAAACAAGGGTTTAACTTTCATTCGTTCACTGAACAAATTTATTGAACATCGATTATATGGCAGGTATTGCTCTAAGCCCCAGGGAAACAGCAATAAAGAAAAAAGGCAAAAATCTCTGTCCTTACAGAGCTTACATTCTAGTGCCACTTATTATACACCAGACATTTGTTCCAGTGATCAATGCTGTGTAATTCAATATCAAAATTATGTAAAAATAATACTTGGGGAAAAGTTGGCTATCAATTATTTTGCTCCATGTGGTATTGACTGGGGTCACTCGGTCCTATTCACCTGATAGCTGGTTTAGTCTGGAGGGTCCAAACAGGCTCACTCAGATGCCTGACACCTTGTCAGGATGGCAGAAAAGCTGAACTCAATACAACCCCTCTTCCTCTCTATGTAGCTTCTGGGTCTCTCCACAGGGTAGTCATACTTCTTACATGGCAAGTGGCTTTTCTTGGAGAAAGTGGTCCTGGAGACAGACCAAGGCAGGAGTTGAAAGGCTTCTTCTGACCCAGAGTTGGAAGGCAAGAAGCATCACTTCAACTGTGTTTCATTAGTGACAGGTGAGTGCCTTTGGTCAGTGTGGGTTTAAGGGGAAGGGAATTAGATCCCACCTTTCCATGGGAGGAATGTCAAACAATCTGTGGCCATCTTTAAGATGCATTTTAACTGTATCTCATTTAGTCCTTACCACAATAACTCTATAAGGTAAGTTCTCTTAAATTATACTTGCTTTAGAGATAAGGAAACTGACACGGAGAAGTTAAGTAACTTGCCCAAGGTTGCATAGCCAGTTAGTGGCAGAGCCAGGATTAAAAAGTGGTAATGTAGGGGTGACTGGCTGGCTCAATTGGTTATGTGTCCAACTCTTTGTTTCGGTTCAGATCATGATGATCTCATGGTTTGTGAGTTCGAGCCCCGTGTCAGGTTCTATGCTGACAGAGCAGAGCCTTCTTGGATTCTTGCTCTCCCTCTTTCCTAGCCCCTCCCCTGCTCACACACACTCTCTCTGTGTCTCTGTCTCTGTCTCTCTCTCTCAAAAATAAATAAATAAACAAAAAAGATTAAAAAAAAGTGGTAATTTAGCTCCAGAGTTCAATGTTTTAAACATTACATTTTACTCCCTCAAATGATTCGCATTACCTTGAACAATTGTTTTTTAAGTGGCTGGGTCTCAGTTCCTCATGCACAATATGAAAGGCTAAGGACAGAGTTATTTTCCATCCCATATGCATTAGAATGGCCACTACCAAAAAACAAAAAATCAAGTATTGGTGATGATGTGGGGAAATTGGAACACTTGTGTACTGTTGGTAGGAATATAAAACAGTGCAGCCTTTATATAAAATAGTATAACAGTTCCTCAAAAAGTTAAAAAAAGAATTAGCATATAAACAGCATTCCACTTCTGGGTATATATTCCAAAGAATTAAAAGCAGAGTCTTGAAGAGATAATCTGTATACCCATTCTCCTAGCAGCACTGTTTACAATAGCCAAAAGATAGAAGTAACCCAAGTGTTCATTTTTAAATGGATGAGGAAAATGTGGTATATACACACAGTAGAATATTACTCAGCCTTAAAAAGGAATGAAATTCTGACACATGCTACAACTTGGATGAAACTTGAGGACATTGTGGTAAGTGAAGTAAGTCAGACACAAAAGGGCCAATAGTGTATGATTCTACTAATATGAAATACCCAGAGGAGTCAAATTCATGGAGTCAGAAAATAAAAGGGTGGTTTCCAGGAGCTCAGGGAAGGGAGGAATGGCAAGTTGTTGTTTAATGGGTATAGAGTTTCAGTTTTGCAAGATGAAAACAATACTGGAAACGGTTGCTCAACAACGTGAGTGTACTTAACACTATTGAATGGTACACTTAAAATGGTTACAGTGGGGCACCTTGGTGGCTCAGTTGGGTAAGCATCTGACTCTTGATTTCAGCTCGGGTCATGATCTCACAGTAGTCAGATCCAGCCCCGAGTCAGACTCTGTGCTGGTTGTGTAGCTGCTTAAGATTCTCTCTCTCTCTCCCTCTTCCTTTGCCCCTCCTGACCCCAAATATATAAATAAAACTTAAAGAAAGAGAAAGTGAAAGCAGGGGAGAGACAGAAAGACAGGGAGAGAGAGAATCCCAAGAAGGCTCTGCCCTGTCACTGAGGAGCCTGACACAGGGCTCAATCCTACAACCCTGGGATCAACCAACTGAGCCACCAAGGCACCCCCACCTCTTTATCCTTCAGAAAAAAATTTTTCTAAATGGTTACAACAGCAGACTTCATATTATGTGTATTTTGCCACAGTTAAAAGTAAAAATTTCATCTTCAACTTTTATAATTTTGTATAATTTTTATCGATAACTATATCTAATATATATCCTAATATATCTAATATATATCTTATATCTAATAGAATAGTAGCTTCTTCTGCTAGACTTAGAAATAATTTGTAACAAGTATTCCAATTATGGGTTGGCACCCATACTCTCATAATTTTACAGAAAGAAGTCATTTAAATCATAAGAAAGTAGAATATATTATATAATCTCTTTTTTTCTAAACAATGAAATAATGAGTCATTAAGAAAGGTGTCTAGTGATGTGTATAGAAAGTGACTAAAATATACAACAGAATTAGCAAAGCAAACAGGATTTTGGACTCCTTACTCATCAGGACAGGCCAAAGCAAACAAGGGTATATTGTATTGTGCTGTAAAGGTCAATAAATTCAGACTTGACCAATTCGGGAGAGGCGGAGAGATGTGGAAACCAGGGCCTTTAGAACTGAGCCTCACCCCAATAATCAAACCATGGAATAGGACTCAGATGTAAGCTGTGTTTCTATTGCCTGGAGGGTGTCTTGGGGAAAAAACCAACGAACCAGGTGCTGGGTTTCAGAAAATTATTTTACCAGGCCATTTAAAGGAGAGCAAGTTTGATTTCAAGTTGTAATCAGAGGATGAATATAATTGTTTCTTCAAATGACCAGAAAGCCTATAAGGAAGTATTCCAGAGGCACTAGTAAACCTCAGGGCAAGAAGGAAAAAGAAAAGGAAATGCTGGGTTTTTTTTTTTCTTTCAATTAAAAAAATTTTTTTCCTGGGTCACCTGGGTGGCTCAGTCGGTTAAGTGTCCGACTTCACCTCAGGCCATGATCTCATGGTCTGTGAATTCGAGCCCTGCATTGGGCTCTTTGCTGACAGCTCAGAGCCTGGAACCTATTTCGAATTCTGTCTCCCTCTCTTTCTGTCCCTCCCCTACTCATGCTCTGTCTCTCTTGCTCTCAAAAATAAATAAATATAAAAAAAATTTTTTTTCCTGATTATCCAAGTAAAACATGTTCACAGGGGCATCTGGGTGGCTCGGTTCATTGTCAGACTCTTGATTTTGTTGAAGTCATGATCTCGAAGTTTGTGGGATGGAGCCTTGCCCTCTCTCTCTCTCCTTTTCCCCTCCCCACCTCTCAAGGTGGATAAGTAAACTTCAAAAAAATTGTTTTGAAAGAAAAGAAAATACAGCACAATGGACAGTTGTGATTTTGATGGCCCAGCAGCTCTTTTATTTTCTGGGTATGTCACACCAACCATCTGGCCCTAGTGGGCACTGCTGTTTTTATTTATTTATTATTTTTATTTTTTTAAGTTTATTTATTTTGAGAGAGAGAGTACGCCCACATGCGTACTTCAGCAGGGGAGGGGCAGAGAGAGAGGGAGGGAGAGAGAGAGAGAGAGAGAGAGAGAGAGAGAGAATCCCAAGCAGGCTCTGCACTGATAGTGCAGCACTGATGGTGCTCGATCCTACAAACTGTGAGATCATGACCTAAGCCAAGATCAAGAGTCAGATGCTTAACCAACTGAGACATCCAGATGCCCCTATTTTTATTTTTTGAGAGAGAGAGAGCACAAGTTGGGGAGAGGGGCAAAGAGAAAGAGAGAGAGAGAGAGAGAGAGAGAGAGGACCCCAAGTACGTCCCACACTTAGCATGGAACCCAACGCAGGGCTCAATCCCAGACCCTGGGACCATGACCCAAGCCAAAATCAAGAGTCAGAGGCCCAACCAACTGAGCCACCCAGGCACCCCTGTACTGCTGTGTTTATTTTTTTTTTAATTCTGCTACAGGGGTGCCTCGGTGCTCAGTCAGTTAAATGACTGACTTCCACTCAGGTCATGATCTTGTGGTTCATGGTGGTTCATGTCAGGCTCTGTGCTGACAGCCTAAATCCTGCTTCAGATTCTGTCTCCCTCTCTCTGCCTCTCCCCTGCTTGCACTCTGTCTCTCTCTTTCTCTCAAAAATAAATAAACATCAAAAATTTTTTTAAAAATTTCTGCTACAGCATGAGGAATGTAGGCTGTGCTGACTTGCCCAACTCAAGCAGAACAGACCCTGTCACCTCCCCATGGATCTGTCTTCTTTCATTAGCCTGCTTTTCTGTCCACGGTGATTGGCTTAAGAGTAGATAACTGACCCAAGTTAGCCAATTCCATTCTCTGGTTACCACTGCCCTGGCCACTGTGATTGTGAAATTGTTGGACATGTGATCTAAAATGGCCAATGAGAATATTTCATTGGGATTATTTTTGCTGCATCTGTTTTCTCCCAATGCACCCTCCCACCACTGCACACACACACATAAAAAAGAATTGGGGGAACATTCTTTATTTCTCTAGTGGCAAAACTAGAAAATGTGAATCCAGGAGCTGCTGGCAATAGAGTCATAAGGCTTGTGGAGAAGGCAGATCTGTGACCCCAATGTACAGAGAGGAACAGAGAGCAGAGATGGAAAGGAGTCCCTGGTTCCACTCAGTTCTTATAACTGGTTCAGTGAGCCAATAAATATTCTTTAAATTAAACTTGTTTAATTGGGGTTTCTGTCACTTGCAATCAAAAGAGCCCTGACTGATATATTTAAAAAAAAAAGTATAAAGAAGCAGAAAAGAACACATCCATAGTGCTACTTCTCAGTGCCAACAACTGATTACTGTGTGATATGTACTTGTTGTCTTTTTTTTTCTTTTTGGTTTTTCATTAGATCATTTCTAGTATCATCGAAAATTTTAGTAATTATACTTTTCACAACTGGTCCCATAATATTAGACATATAGTTATTTCCAAGTTTTTGATGCATTGTGGGCATACATTTTTGTTTGTATCTCATATTATTTTTTGGGATATGTTGCTACAAAGAGAATTACAGAGCCAAAGGGTATGAATAGTGACTTTTAAGGTTTTGTTTTTACTTTAAAATTTTTTTTCTTTAATATTTATTTATTTTTGAGAGAGAGACCGAGCGCAAGCAGGGGAGGGGCAGAGAGAGAAGGAGACACAAAATCTGAAACAGGCTCCAGGCTCTGAGCTGTCAGCACAGAGCCCGATGGGAGGCTGGAACCCAGGAACTGCGAGATCATGACCTGAACTGAACTTGGATGCTTCAGACTGAGCCACCAGGGTGACCCCCCCTTTTTTTGTAAATTTTTTTAATGTAAAGTTTTTTTTTTTTTTTTTTTGGTAAAAGTGATACATGATAACAAGAATTAAACAATTTAAAAGGATATGAAAATGCACAAGTTACCTTCAAGCATGTTTCTTCTTTTCCAGACTGTCTCTCCCTTTCTTTATATACATGTATATATCTTCCTCTGCCACTTTTAAAGATCCTACCAAATTATGGTATGATGAAAATACTCTTGTGTACTTTGATTTTCATTATTTATTTACTTATTTTTTAATTAATATTTGGTCTATTTAACTGTCTACTAAACTACTTCTGAAGTCATAGGACACCTTTTTTTAAAAAAAGTGAACTGTACAGGCAACATGGGGCTTGAGCCTTGAGCTCACCACCCTGAGATTGAGTTGCATGCTCTACTGGATAAGCCAGCCAGGAGTCCCAACAATATATTTTTTTAAAAACTGCATGGTAGGGCACCTGGGTGGCTCAGTTGGTTAAATGTCCAACTTCGGCTCAGGTCGTGATCTCACGGTTCGTGGGTTCGAGCCCCGCTTCAGGCTCTCTGCTGTCACTGCAGAGCCTGCTTCAGATCCTGTCTCCCTCTCTCTCTGCCCCTCCCCCACTTGTGTGCATGCTCTCTCTCTCTCTCAAAAATAAATAAAAATTTTTAAAAATTGCAAAAAAATTGCCTCCTTCCAATGATGGACATCTAGGCTTTTTCTAGTCTTTTGACACTACAAACAAGCCTGCATCAAGTACCCCTATATGTAGGAGTATCAAAATGTGCAAATATATCTGTACAACAAATCTCTGGGGGAGAAAGTACTAAGTCAGTAGTATTGTGCTAGGCCTTGCCAAAATGTCTTCACAATTGCCATTCCAAATGAACTCCCACCAGTAATATATGAAAGAGCATACCCTCATCAAGATAATGCATTAACAAATTTTTGTTAAATAAACAAAATAGGTTTTGTTTTTTGTCTTGCCCCTGTGATCAACAAATATTAGTTTCTTTTTGTAGTTGTAATTTGACAAATTGCCCTTCCATCTGGAATTTATACCTCCATCTGTCATATGTGAAACTATTGGCCTTACTGCATCTTTATCAGCATTAAGCATCATCTTTATATTATTTTATTTGTTTATTTATTTACTTTAAGATTTTACTCTTAAATCTCTACACCTAATGTGGGGCTCAAACTCACCCCAAGATCAAGAGTGGCACACTCCACCAACTGAGCCAGCCACGTGCCCCGACATTACCATTACTTTAAATCTTTAGTAATTTAATAGGCGATAATAGTATTTCATATTAAAAGCTTGTATCTTATTCATTCATGCAACATTTATTATCCAAACACCTATAGTATGCAGATGTTCTTCTGATGACAATGGTAAGACACTGTCCTTGCCCTCAAGGAGCTTACATTTCTTTGATTACTAATGAATCTGGACACTAAAAAATGAACACTTTCAAGTTGTATTTTAAACCAGGAGTTGTACATTGTCTCAAACTTTATTTACTTACTTGCCTACTTATTTAGCATTGTCTCAAACTTTGTAAGGAGACAGGAGATGATCATTTAAAAAATTTTTAAATGTTTTTATTTATTTTTGAAGGAGAGAGAGAGAGAGAGAGAGCATGAGTGGAAGAGGAGCAGAGAGAGTGGGAGGCGCAGAATCCAAAGCAGGCTCCAGGCTCTAAGCTGTCAGCACAGAGCCCGATGCAGGGCTCGATCTCATGAACTATGAGATCATGACCTGAGCTGAAGTTGGGCGCTCAATCGCCTGAGCCACCCAGGTGCCCCGAGATGATAATTTAAAGATGATATTTATCATTCTGATTGGAAGTGGGATCTACAGATGTGTAGTGGAAAAGTGGCATTTTCGGACTCATTTACATAACTACTTCCATTCTGTTATGTAGAAGGGGAAGTCCATAGGCTTCAAGAAAGTGGGCTAAATATAGTGGCAGGTGCCACTAACTGACTGCCAGTGTCTACTGTCCCCTTCTTTTAGGAATAGGATTATTTCACTTTTATTTATTTATTTTTGAACGTTTATTTTACTTTTGAGACAGAGACAGAGCATGAATGGGGGAGGGTCAGAGAGAGAGGGAGACAGAATCAGAAGCAGGCTCCAGGCTCTGAGCCATCAGCCCAGAGCCCGACGTGGGGCTCGAACTCATGGATCGTGAGATGGTGACCTGGGCTGAAGTCGGACGCTTAACCGACTGAGCCACCCAGGCGCCCCGGATTATTTCACTTTTAGTGGGGCATATGGCCACTTGCCTAGAGACTATGTTTCCCTTGAAGTTAAGTATTGGGCATGTGAGTAGGTTTGGGTCAATTACATGTAAGAAGTGTTATAAGAAATAGCTTGATTGTTTCTTAGAGAGGAAGCTCCTACTCCAGACCTTTTTTTTTTTTCTTTTTCCTCCTGTGGGCTGGGAAATAACAGAGATTGGAAATCAGTGTTGAAGGTCACAGAGACCAACTACCAACCTGGGATCCTGGATGAGCTGGTGAGGCAGAACTGCCTCATCAGCCTACACCACTCACCTCTGGATTGTTATGTGAGAGAAATAAACTTCTGTTTTATTGAAGTCATTGTAATTTTGAGTCTCTGGAACAGCAGACTGGCCTGTATACTAATTGATATGTATACATAATGGAATAAAGTATGATAGGTGCTCAGAGGCCTAAACCATTGGCTCCCCTGGCTCTCCAGCTTGCTGGGTCACACTGCTGATCTTGGGACTTGTTAATCTCTATAAGCAAGTCAGCCAATTCCTTACAATGCCTCTCTTTAAATGTATATTATAAGAGCAAGCTTTGCTCAACGGGGAAAGGGCAGCGTCTTCATCAAATAGTGCTGGGAAAATTGAATATCCACATGCAAAAAAATGAAAGTAGACTCTTACGCAAAAATTAATCCAATGTATTCAAAGCCTAAATATAAGACCCTAAACTATAAAACTCCTAAAAGAAAGGAGACAATCTTCATGATATTGGATGTGGCATGAATTCTTGGATATACTGCCAAAAGTACAGGCTGCAAAAGCAAAAATAGACAAATGGGACTATATCAAACTTAAAAACTTGTGTTCATCTGTGAGTTATAGCACAGGGAATACAGTGAATGGTACTATAATAATGTTGCATGGTGACAGATGGTGGCTGTGCTTGTGAGCATAGCACAATGTATACAGTTGTCGAATCACTATGTTGTAAACCTGAAACTAATGTAACATTGTGTGTCAACTATAATTAAAAAAGGAAAAAACCCTTTTGTTCATCAAAGAACATAATCTACAGAATGAAAAGGCAGTCTATGGAATGGGAGAAAATATTTGCCAATCATATTTCTGAAAAGAGCTTAATATCCAGAATATATAAAGAATTCCTATAGGGGTTCCTGGGTGGCTCAGTCAGTTAAGTGTCCAACTTCATCTCAGGTCGTGAGCTCACAGTTCGTGAGTTCGAGCCCCCCATCGGGCCCTGTGCTGACAGCTCAGAGCTTGGAAACTGCTTCGGATTCTGTGTCTCCCTGCCTCTCTGCCTCTCCCCCGCTTGCATTGTCTCTCTCAAAAATAAATAAACATTAAAAAAGTAAATAGTGAAATTAGTCAGAGAAAGACAAAATTCATATGACTTAACTCATATGAAGACTTTAAGAGACAAAACAGATGAACATAAGGGAAGGGAAACAAAAATAATATAAAAACAGGGAGGGGGACAAAACAGAAGAGACTCATAAATATGGAGAACAAACTGAGGGTTACAGGAGGGGTTCTGGGAGGGGGGATTGGCTAATTGGGTAAGAGGCACTAAGGAATCTACTCCTGAAATCATTGTTGTACTAGATGCTAACTAATTTGGATGTAATTTTTAAAAACAAAAATAAATAAATAAATAAACAATAAAAATTAAAAAAAATCCGTACAATTTTAAGGGGTGGCTGGCTGGCTCAGTCAGTAAAGCATGCAACTCTTGATCTCAGGGTTGTGAGTTCAAGCCCCATGTTGGGCTCTATGCTGGGTGTGAAGCATATGTGAGAAAAATAAAAATAAATAAATAACTTTGAAAAGGGAAGGTCATCTTTGGAGGTAGCTCAGCTACTTACTTGCTATGAACATTTAGGACAATTACTCACATCCACCGTGTTTCAGTATCCTTGTCTGCAAAACAGGGATTGGAATTATACATACTTCACAGGGTTGTTTTAATGAAAAAAGGAAGTAACACATGTAAAAGCATTTTGAAGAGTACTTAAGTAGTAAATACATACTTAATGTTGGCTATTATTATCTCCAGGTGATGGGATTATGTATGATTTTGTGTCTTCTGTTTTGTTTTCTATAGGAAATAATCTATTTTGCAATAATAAAAAGAGTGAGTTGAAAAAAATAATGCTTTTCATGATTACCATTGCCTTTGAAGTCTAAAATCCTTACTATAAAAGCTGTATCACACACCTAGCATATCCTTTGTCTCTGCCCTGCCAGAGTACTCTTAAAATATATTTTTAAAATGCAGTATTCCTTCTGGACATGCTATACATACCTCTTTTGTAGTACTTTTGCATGGATAGTTTGTATGTCCGTATCAATCCACTTAATTCAGTTCTTAGACATTAAAGACTGACCGACCATCTTTGAATCCCAGTAATGTACCTGGCACTTGGCCTATGGATGCTGGGGTTTGCTTTAAATGAAGTAAACTGATTCAACCAAGCAGAGCTTTGGGAGCTTTTCAGGGTTCCTGATGTTTCCAGAGGCTGAAAGTGGTCCTTTAGCACAGTTTCGGCTTCAGGTACAGGAACTTGGGCCCAAATCACAAGCCTGGTCTTATGTTTATAACAGGTGCATTGTCATTGCCAAGATTTGGGCTTCATCAAATTGTCACTGGGAAGAGCAAATCTCCACTGAACATTGGCGTATTCTTTATTTGTGAAAAGAAATGGGGGGCATCTATGACTTCTGTTTACTCCAGACCTCTGGGGAGTATGCATGTAAGGTAATATGATTATCGGGCATATAAAGTAATATTTAGGATCGTATATCCAAGGTTGCACCTATTTCCTTTTCTTTCTAAAAATTTCCATGCTTTACAGACACATCTAACAGTTTTCATGGAGAAACCCAAGAAAGCCTGAAAGGAGGTATGTTAGTGTGAATTAATGAACAATTTTGGATTATAGAAAAAAATTAAAAGGACGTTTTATTTATAGACCATATAATAGCTTAGAAAATATTTTCTTGTAGGCTTAATCTGGGGATCTGCTTTGATAAACAGAGAGATACTTTGTATTTAATATTTCAATAGCTATTATATTTGAGAGTACTTCTAAGGAATTAAAAGTGTTTGATAGACTTTCACCTTAGATACTTTACATAGGGACCCAATCTTATTCATACATTTAACTTATATTGTCAATATGCACCATTTAAAATAAAGACAGGTTTTAGCCTAATTTATCCCTCCCCGAAAAAGCACAAATTCTGTATTACTACAGCTTCACTCATACTAGGAGCTCTGTATTACAATACTATCAATTTGCTACCTGATATGAAAATCTGTGCTTGTTCTTGGAAAGACAGATTCATGTTTGTTAAGGTATTAGAGTATGATTGTATAGTGAGACTAGAAGTAAGGGACTCTTTGGGTGCCTTGGGTGGCTCAGTTGGTTAAGTGTCTGACTTTTGATTTCGGCTCAGGTCATGATCTCACAGTCGTGAGATGGAGCCCTGTGTCGGTCCCAGGGCTCAGTGGAGCCTGTTTGGGATTTTCTCTCTCCCTCTCTGTCCCCCTGCACTCACACGTGCATGTTCTCTCTCAAAATAAATAAATAAAACTTAAAAAAAAAAAAAGAATAAGGGACTCTTATTAGGTAAGATTGTATGTATTCTTAGAACTAGTGTGTATTCATTGGAGAGATTTTGGAAAAATCTATCAGGGATGATTAGGATAGGATACTTGATCACTTTATTCATGCAGGGGCAAGATTTCATTAATCTTTTTTTTCCCCCATTAAATGCTAATAAAATAAATTTGCCAGGGAATGAGTAATACATCTCTACCAAGATATCCAAGGCCATCCATCCATCTTTTAAAGAACACAGTAAGAATGTACTTATTAAATAAATAAAAATGAATACAAACTTGTATTAAATTCCCTAATTTCAACCAACTGTGTATTTTGGGTTTTCTTTTGGCACATCTCCTATATAGCTCACATCTTAAAAAGCAA